ATAAGTGTCACTGCATAGTACTAGGAGGTATATACAGCCACATGTAAAAATGCATAAAACACAAACATTTATGTACAGCAATTTTTCCTTTCAGTCTGTATAGAGAAACACTGTTTTATAATATGAGGAAGTATAAAGCAGACACACATGCAACAAAGACATGACGGTTACATATACCCCCCTCCGCCCCCCAAGTGTTACAAGCAGGGGGAGAAAAACATTTTTCAGGGAAAAGTGTCGAAACCTGGAATGTTTTCATACTGAGGTTTCAGGAGAGCTTCAGATCTGAATGTATCTGAAGTACTTTTAAAGGCTTGATTCAAAGCTCTGTGAAATCAATAGAAAGACTCTCAGTGGTTTCTGTGGGCTTTGGTTCAGGCCCTTATATTTTACCCAAGTTCCCATTCTGCCCTTCCCTGCAACTCAGTGATTAAGTTTGAGGATAAAAATAAACAATCATATCATACAAAACTTTGTATATTAGAATACAAAAGGTAACCATTTACTTTTTGTATAAAATACAACTTTTGATAGTATATTTATTTCACATATGTATAAATATAACCCAAAGAATATGTTTTTATTATTCCTACCAAAATATTAATTTTTTTGTTTTTACAAAAGTTTACAAAACAAATAATTCTTTATATTTACAACCCAATACTGTGAAGAGCTCCTGGTCAATGATGAAAAATATATTATAAGGGTAGTGCATTTAGCCATTTTTTCAAAAAGAGAGAACTTAGTTAAGAACCAACATTGGATTCAAGTTTTGGTCACAAAAGTCTTTCACCATCTCATACGTGTTGTGTACATCTTCACAAGAAACTAACAGCCTTTGCTTGGTCACAGGGGAGTATGAGTGTATTTAAAACCAATTTTGTTTTACTATAACAGCAATAGTTTTATACCTCATTCAGCTCCTCATCTAGTCAGTGAAAAAAATGACTAGTGGAAAAAATGTAACAGGTGCAGGATCAAGCTGAGACCCATATCTTGCATTTCTTGAACGATATCCTCAACTGTGTCACCTTTTACAGAAGTTGAAGGCCTTTCCTGAGGTTGCCTGAGTAAACCTATAGTAGATGACCCATCACTATTAATCAGCAGTTGCTTCTTCAATGGCATGTGAGCTCACATATGATTTTTGATGGTTCTAGCTGATTGCTTAAGATAAGGTCAATATAGATGGAGCACATCCTTAGCGACTACTTCTAAGAAATCTGTCCC